CTAGTCTGCTTACCACCAGCAAAGGTATATCTGCATGGTCACCTGCATGTGACAATGCATTTCACCAGCTGCGCAGCCTATTGACCTCACCACCTATCCTTCGTCACTACGACCCCACTGCTCCCACAGAAATTCACACCGATGCAAGTAGCGTCGGTCTTGATGCAGTTTTGGCGCAACGAAAAGGCACCCAAGCTGAATACGTAGTCGCTTGTGCAAGTAGTGCTATCAAGAAGACTGAATTAAATTACTCTGTCACAGACAAGAAATTTTTGGCGGTAATATGGGCGTTGACGAAGTTTCGCCCATTATTTTACGGCCGTCCTTTCGACGTGGTCACAGACCATAACGCTCTATGTTGGCTTTCCACCTTGAAAGAGCCGTCGAGACGCCTGGGCCGTTGGGCACTTCGATTGCAGCAATACAATATTCGTGTAGTATGTCGTTCCGGTCGCAAGCATGCGGATGCCGATGCGCTTTCCCGCTCACCATTAACGCCCGATGTGGCTTCTCTGTCACCCCTTTCTACCACCTTGTCACCACTCGGTACCACACATGCTTTTGGAGCAGCGTAAAGAACCATACCTTGCTTTGTTATTCGACTACATTACCGATCCGTCTGCTGTCACTTCCACAAGAGCACTACGCCGTTATGCAGCCCACTTTTCCATGCGAAACAATATTCTGTATCACCGCAACTACATGTTATAGGAGGACGGATGTGGCTTCTTGCTGTCTCTACTTTCATGCGCTCTGACATCTGTGTGAATTTCCATGCAGATCCCAAAGTGCTCACGCCAGTGTTGTGAAAACCTACGAAAGGCTGTCAGCGATATTCTTGGCGAGGAATGTATCGCTTTGTGGAGAAATATGTTTATTCTTGCACTACTTTCCAGGAAAACAAGACACCTCCGCGGCACCTCACTGGCATGTTACAGCCACTCCCGTTCCCGGCTCGCCCATTTGACCTCTATGGCCCCCTCCCGTATAGTGGCATTGGAAACCGATGGATTATTGTCGGCATCGATCATCTGACACGCCACGCTGAGACTGCAGCTCTACCGGCATTGACCGCCCACGAACTTTCAATCATCATTCTCCGCAGCCTCATTCTATGCCATGGTGCTCCGCGGGAACTACTCAGTGATAGGGGTCGCGAGTTCCTGTCGGAGGTCATCCAAACTAACCTCGCTGAATGCAACATCATCCACCAGAAATCTACTGCATACCATTCACAGACAAATGGTCTCACCGAGCGGTTCAACCGCACACTCGGTGACATGCTGAGGATGTACGCCTCTTCCGACCACACTTATTGGGACGCTTATTACCTTTTGTTACATTCGATTACAACACCACGCCGCAAGCGACCACCGGCTTTTTCCCGTTCTTTTTGTTGTACGGCCGCGAGCCTTCCCACCCAGTGGACACCGCATACTCCCGTACTGCCCTAATGCTTTTCTGAGTGCTCTCCACTTTCTGAAGTCGCCAGATACTCCGAAGACTGCCGTCAGTTGGCTCGTTCTCTGAATAGTGAGGCTCAAGGTCGACAAAAGGCTCGACATGACGACGTCCGTAACCCTGGTCTTTCGTTTCGTACTGGCTCCCTTGTGTGGCTTTGGGTGTTCCCGCACGTCACTGGCCTTTCTAAAAACTTCTGGTACGGTATCATGGTCCTTACCGTGTCATTGATGCGACCTCGCCGGTGAATTTCATCGTCGAGCCTCTCACACAAACGCCAGATTTGCGCCATAGAGGACGCGAGACCGTACACATCAACTGTCTCAAGCCCTACTATGACCCCCTCATTGTACCTACTCCCTGAGCCACCAGGATGGCTACTCTTCACCCCGGGGGTATTGTGGTGGAGAATATGCACCAACGCGTATGCGCCTTCGGAAGAGGACGAAAAGCCCCGCGCTCTGATGGCGCGAAAACCTGTTGCGCCTTTGCCAGCCTTGCCATACGGCCCTTTTCCATTGCGGCCTCGTTGCGACTTCTTTCGTTAAATAAACCTCATCGCATTACGAAAAACGTTTGGACAGTACAACACAAAGGGAATTCACTAGTTTACTATCGAGGCCTGAGCCGGCTGCCTGAGCGCAAATACATACAACAAATATGCACATCATGTTGAGGTTTGCTAAATAAGGTATTTTGAGATGAAATCTTACATTAGAGACCCTATTTTCAATATACGTACTACAGTTAGTTAGAACAGTTCGTACGTATATGCCAGCGCATCGGGAAGTCCGAAAAATCAGTAAACAAGAACGGCTGAGCAATGCGAAAACGCATTCATAAACGACAAATTATTTTTTTTTTTGTAAATTCGGCTTCTGAAAGCAAACAAGCGAGTTTAGAAATATCGACGAGCTAGGTTTCTCTCGCTTCACTCGTGTGGGACGCCAGGCAGCTCATCGAAAACTATGCCCTAACTGGTGCTTGGCGGCGACAAAATTACAGCGAATGCGTATATCTAATTTTGGGTATACGATGTAACGCAACGCGCACGCAAAACTTTCCGTGTCACGCTCGTACAGAGAGGGTGGATTTTGCGTGCTCAAGGCGCAATGATAGGGGCGAAGCGTACGCGCGCGCGACGAGCCTGACCCACATTGGCGTGGGCGAAGGTGCTTCTGCGAGCGCAAGGGCGGATGGGAGACGGAAGGAAGCGCGGCTCTTCCTTTTGTTCCAGCTGACACGCAACGTCACGTTTCGCTTGCTGTTCTTTCTGCATTCACGCCCATCACCGTCTCGTGCGTTCAAAGCGCACTTAAACGACGAATACGTCAATTCTTATCATCGTTTGTTACGTAGTCATTCTTTAAAAAAACAGCAAATAGCTATCTCCCTTGTTGCTTCTTTTTGTGCACTGCTCCATTTTGGTCGCGTAGTGCGAGAAGCATCTTGCTCGATTTACATGGCAATCAACATTCTCTCAAGAAAACACATACAGGCTCGCGACTAAGTCAGCGCAGAAGCCAATATCAGCTGGTGATATAGAGAACAGGAACCATAGAGTAACAACGAGTTAGACCTTACGAGGCTAAATTTCCTTTTAGTGAAAATGAGTCCAAATTGCTCTATTTGCGAGGCACTTCGCCGTGTCCAGAAATTAGGTGCCTTCTCTTTTTTTAAGATCACTCAACAATTTTTGAAAATGGAAGCTTATAACTTGTCCACCGCTCTGGAACAGTGGCCAATGTGCTCGGCAGCTGACGGGGTGGTCGCCGGTTTGAGGCCTGCCGGGGCAGTCGCATTTCGATGGAGGCGAAATCATAGAATCCTGTGTATGGTGCGATGTCAATATACTCTAAATAACACCAGATGGTCTAAATTTCTGGAGCTCGCCACTACGTCATATCTCATATGTTGGTTTAGGGACGTAAAACACCAGATAATATTATTATTGGAAGCTTAAAACTCAATTGTCACAATATTGAAATAATTATGCTGCTCCTCAGCCAACAAAATTCAACGGCTATGTTTAGAGGTAAGTCGACATCATGCTAGTAACTATTGTGGCTGTGTTGTGTGCAGCCTCAACAAGTTCAATGCCGTTTGGCTTCTGTGTGAACAAAAAAACAAGTGGAGTCAAAATCAGAAGTGCAACCACGCTGCCCGTAAAGGTTTAATAGGTGACAACTAGCCGGGCCTTTCAGGGTATTACAATGCCCCCTTAACTGCAAGTTGAGGCAACGCCCCACATATCGTAATAGATGTACCACTGGCGGGTTTTGCAAGTGTTTTGTGAACGAGTCTGTATAACAATATTGTTTCACGCGTGCACTGCACAGACGTTTGCTTTCTGTATATTTGTGCTTTTTCTAATGAAAAGATCGCATAGTCTTGACATTCTTGTATATTTGCCTCACCTCATTTCTGCATCTTTTTTAAACAAGGGACTAATATGCAAGCTAGCTCAGCCAATCACACTTCTACAGTTCTACGAAAGGTCTTTACATTTGGCTTTAACATTTGGCTGACAGGTGCTACAAGCTTCTACAAAGCTTGTAGTGGTAGGCAATAGCAGCAACTACCATTGCAATACGTGCCGGTTCATGCCACTCAGGAGTACTGTGCGTTTCGTGCATTCCACCGTCGTTATCATTAAGGAAACTATCTTGCCACTGCATGTAGTACCACGATGATTTTACCGTGAAACAATCATTTCTTAATCACATTTCTGAGTGCATAGATACATGGATGCTACGCGATCCGTGAAAATGACTATACGTTTCATTTTTGATAATATATCATCAGTATATTGTTCTCATTGCTATATTGTTCTAGTTTCTCTGAAACGAAGTGATGAGAGACAGGGAATTCTTGTTAGTATTTGTATACGTTTGTGCCTTTTTTATTAAAAGCTCAATTGAAGGTCTTGACATTGTTGTCTATTTCTGTGCTTGTTCGCAGTATCTTAGTTCAGTGGCGGTGTTCCATAAATAATATGGTATTATAACTATATTAGGCTTCAATTTATTGCTGACTTACTATTTTTGTCATTTCTATCAACCAGCTCAACTCGTCTCAATATTTCGATTAAATATGCAAAATTACACGGCTGAAATCCATCTAATCTTGGTCACATTCATTCCACTTGGATTGACCTACATTAGTTTTAAGCAGTGTTTTCGTGTATAAAAAAAAGAATAGATAATTTCACTGAACGGTGGTACGTATACTTACAACGTTTCGTAGATACACTTCGCTTACTTGCACTAATATATAGCTATGTTCTTGAAAAACCCACAGCTGCGGATGTTCACAATGCGTACATGTTTGTCTACTCTACTGTGGTGGCTGTTGCGTAAAAGTTTGAACTTACTACCACATCGTTCGATTTCCGAGAGAGAACGTTAATCTAAATAATGAAAAAAAAAAACGTCGCAGTGGTGTCAAAAGTGACATCGTAGCCAAACTGAATGCGTTTTGTATGGGAAATTCTTGCTGTTCATATAACAACTTTTGGGGGAATATTCTCTCTGACGCAGTCTGTACTCAACTGTTCGACAAACCTGAAGAAGCCCATCCTGTATTCGCTGCTCCATGCATGGCTGGGAACAGGTCTTCTCACAAGGTAAAGCCCCTCTCGGTGAGGTCTTTCTTTTTCCTTTTTTACTCTGTTGAACGAATGGCAAACATTCGAGTGAGGCGAACGTGCTGTGACACACCCTCGCCAAACAGACCACCAAGTTTGATGCAAACGCACGCGACGCAAATTGAGAACTTTTATGCGGCGCCACGTAATAGAGGCACAAGCCGAAGAAGGGAAACGCATTCAACAGGAACCTGTCAGTGTGCTTTCTGTCTCTTTTGATTCAGGATCTTCTCATCTCATAACACGTCCAGTGAAAGCACGCAGCCTGGTTTTAGTGTATCAGCGAGGCACGGTGCGTGCTGCGGAAAAATAAAGCATTTCTTGCATGACAGAGTGCGCCGCCAAAGCCGCTTGCATGTCATGCATGTAGTTATGTCTAAGGCTATGCAGAGTCCCGTTCAGAGTGCTGTTTATGCATTGCATTGAAACAAAAAAAAGAAGCGTGATCAGATTTTTCGCGGGAGGGCGGAGGATAAACTAATCTTTATTTATATTCGTGCGTGGGTTTGTATACGCATGCAAAATACAGAAAAAGTTCAAGTTCACGGGAGGGGACTATAGAACCCCCCCCCCTTTTTTTCCGCCTAGCTACTCCAACGTAAATAAATTTTGACCTTGAACTTGCGTTCAGGAATCGATAGCACCTATCTTACGTTTTCCTGTGGGCGGTCGAAAGCGTTAAAATCGGAGTCACAGACTATGCCACGACACATTGCACACTTCCAAATCAACTTCTGCAAACTGTGCTATGTACTTATGACATCAATAATAGAACGTCTGAAGGGGCGAAAAATTTAGAGTGTTGTAGATTACATGAAAGAAAGTACGCAACCTCATCGGGGTTCTTTGCGCAAGCTTTTCGTACCTTCTCTACAGGGCAGCATTTACTGTCCCGTTGCAAGCAAAGAAATCATCTGCGTCAGTCGAGCTATGTGATATTATGAGGAGACTGTCATGTGTGTACTTTGGCAGCTGCCAATACATTCGCTCATATTTGTGCATTGAAAACCATCCATCAAAACTACGTGGTACAGGCACGAACACTGTAACAAACAACCTGCAGCCTGTGCATATATTTGCCTTCACCGCAAGACCCACCTTCTTTGGTATTGTGTCACTTTTTTTAGGATACCTGTACCTAACCACTTTGGTACTTCGTGAAGCATTGAAGAAGATTTAAAAAGTAGATTTTTAGGTATTTCTGAACCAAAAGAGGGGCGAGGATAATAAATCTAGAAATTAACAAACGCTTGTACTTTACAATAAACGATGATGTGTGAGTTAGTTAATACCTGTCTCGCACAACGGACACTGACCACTATATTTCTGTCTGTGGTGCTTGAGGAACATTAAAAAATGGTGATGGATCCATGAAATAACGCAAGCAATTGTGCTACTACTGTGGAATTAGAGACACTGCTGAGAGAAATTGGCCTTTTCCTGACATTCTAAGTTTTTCTGCCATCCTATATATATATATATATATATATATATATATATATATATATATATATATATATGAGATCTAACAGACAATAATGCCAAGGAATGTATAGGCGAAGTTATTAGAACCAATGTATTGTAAATAAGAAGAAAGAAACGTGCGTCTTTCTTCTTATTACATCACATTGATTCTAATAACTTCCTATATACACTCCTTGGCATTATAGTCTGTTAGATCTCATTAATATTGTGCCAAAACACGGAAAAAACGAGTCCTTAGGTATACACTTCTGTCTTTTATATATATATATATATATATATATATATATATATATATATATATATATATATATATATATATATATATATATATATATATATATATATATATATTCATGTTGTATGCATGCCGTCATATACGCTCGTCCTGATGTGTCTGGCCTTTCATTTACGCGTTTACAAGATCCTTCATTTCACTGGAATTAAACGCTTATTCAAGCTCAACGTTTGCGTCATCTAAACTAACACTGCACCACTGCACACTGCATGCTGCCATTTGTTTAGTAAAATTATGAAAATTTATTATTCACTGCATGAATGCTGCAGTTGTACACAAAAAAAAATTTCATGTGCTTTATATTTGTTTAGTTGATGACTGATTGAGTGACTGGCTGACTCATTGATTGATTGACTGATATTTACACGCAGTAATAAGGCGCAAAGGGAGTGCGTAGTTTATGCTTAACCTATCTTCATTAAAGATGGGCGAGATGCTGGAACTTCCGCTGACGGAAGAATTTCAATAGCCGCCGGAACCAGGACTTGGCATAATCGCGATACTGGAGAATTTAGATAGTATCATAGAGATATTTTCGAGTCCTTGAATTTCTGTATCGAGACACATTTGCACAATGTATTTGTATCACAGCAGTTAAATACCTTTAAGATGTGTCGATTATATAGCGATACTGTAGAGAACATGGGTATCTCGTTACGACTTTTGTTAGAAATAAGCTGGCCACTTTCTCAGAGGAAAAGATGGTTTTTGTGCTTCGCCAAACAAAGGCATGCCGCTGGTCTACAACGCAGTGTGAGGGCCAAAGGGTTCCCCGCACGCACAGAATTATTCATGTGGTAAAGTGCCCAACGATACGCGTGCTAGTTTTGATATGGCAAAACAACCACAATATTATCATCAGCCTAACAAAGTCATAGCGGAGCATCAGTATTACTGAAATCAAACAGGTATTCTAGTATTTGTATTTTTTGTATTCTTGTATTAGTATTCCCGTATCTGTACTACGAAATGGTCTTTTTTTTTTTCTTCTAGAAACGTATTTCGGAAATATGTCGTTACGTCTATAAATGTATCCGGGCATCTGTATTTTAGGCGTCCGGTGCTTGTACGTTGACATCTGTACTCCAGAAACTTTTCTTAGAATCGCTGCCCAGCCCTGACCGAAACGTAGGTCTAAAAAAGACAAGATGTCTTCACCTACGGACGAACCCGCATGCGGCGAAGCCCAAAGCTCACAACCGTGCATTGCCGTTTATTAAAGTGTACCCTGTTACACGTTTTCAGCCTGGTCAGAAAATACTGCCGATTGGTAGGCGAGGCTCCTAAGAACACGCGAGAGAAACATTAAGCGCAGCGAAGGCTTCAAATTTGAAATTGATGCTAAAGTAAGCTATAAACCACTCATCTCTTCAAAAGATGGCTTATGCCCAATTTACTGCTCCACATACCCAAAGTTCAGGACCCTTGACCAATTTGAGCATAGTTCCCATGGCTGCGGCGGGATTCCGCCACGGGTTCACAGTGTTCTATCTAACTTGTGCATGTAACCCATCGGCCTAATTTGCTACTTCGCTTGCCATCAGAACTCTCCGATCACGATGCAACTTTCCTGTGTCGAATGTGGTTGGGTCTGGCACTTGGAAACGCATACCTTGTTTGATAGTGTGGCCTACAAGTTTAAAAAAAAACAATGACTCAGCTTTTCAGTGCAGGCTATTGGCCTTCCCGAGATACAACGCAAGATTGGTTGGTTTATGGGGTAAAAGCGACTCAGACACTGTAGTGAAGGGCATCGGACAACTGCAGCCTCCTGGGGTTCTTCAAAAAGATACTTAATCAAAATTTTAAAATTTTGTGCGAACTCCGGAAATGTATTGTAAGAGTGCAATGGCATCGAAAAGAAGTCCTCGGTGAGCGAACTTTTAAGCGGGTGAATTTATTATTAACGTGTTCGTGTGCGTGTACCAAGCCACTCAGCTCACACGAGTTGGAAAGCTTGACGTCACAACCCCTTCGATGGACAGCCAGCCGGCCAGCCACAGCCTTTCTAAGCGCTTGTTCTCGCATAACAGCACAGTATGTGTTCGTGTCATGGTACCCAATACAAGTGGAACATTCATCTCTGATTTCAACTTGGCAAACCATTTCAACTTGCCAAGATATACCAGCTCACAATTACAAGCATCCGGTGCACGCTAAACAAAGAACAGGCATTCCGTGCCACTCTGGCAGTATACGGGCCAGCACAGCAGCGCGGTCCAACGAGCAGCGGCAGCAGTATACATAAACTCATGTTACGATGGATGTAAAGCATGTAGGTTCCTTAGCTTTGACAAGGAACAGAGGCATTTATAATAAAAAAGGCAGTTATGACGGCCGAATAAAGGTATCGTAGTTCGTCGCATTGTGTTTAACTTATTCGATTAGAGTTCGACCACTCCGCAGCTGATTTCCGCTCGATGGGGCACCACATGTGTGGAATTTCTCAGCCGTTTAAAGCTCTGTATGCATATGGCAAAGATTGTCACATATATGAAACTACAATCCACTTACATGTTGAACTAATCGAGATCGGCCTACTTCGTCACGGTAGAGAGACTGGACTATTCGAAAACAAGCCTCGTTTGAGCGCTTTACGCCTATAGGTGGCACCTCTAAGTGAAGACAAGACGCTGCTAAGTGAAGCTTCAGACGCAGCTTACTGAAACGACTATATTCCGACCCAGCAAATGAAGTCAAATTTTAATTGTCTGCTACTGTGGCGCAATGGCTGAGTGAGACATACAAAGTCTACGGAGCTTGTCATCTCTAGGAAACGTATGCGACGGTGTGTCACGACCAACGATGCTGCTAAGAGAGCCTTCAGCGGAGGAGCAGCCAGAAATTCCGTTCCGCCGCAACGAACGCTTTGAAACCAAAGACAAACCGCGGGAAATCATGTATTCTACAAAGCGATAACTTTGCCCGACGTTGCAGACGAGTGACCACAGTTGAAAACGAGTAGCGCCGACAGCAATAAACACTGCCACGCGCGCGCGCGACTTAGGGGGGGGGGGGGGGGGTCAAGGCGTATTGCAGCAAGTGGCTGCGAGGGAGGGCGCTAGGCACAACCAAATATCGCTGAAAAAAGGTGTTTCTTGTCCATTTTAATTACTTTTTGCATTCGTCATTTTTAGCAGTTAGTTCTGCCACAAAACGCCGGCTGCAAAGTTATTCCGTATCCATTCAAGGTGCACTG